CAACCCTCCTGTAGCTGACCATATAAAAGCTCATGCTGGTACAAGTTGCCAGATTAAAGGAAAGCTGGGGTTTTGGTTTTATTTTGTAACAGAGCCAGCTATACTGATTTAAGATGTTCTTAAAACTCCAGATTAGGATTGGTAACTTGAGTAAAGGAAATAAGTGGTGGTGGTGTGTTTTTCGATTTTCAAGGAAGAGCTGCTACAAAAAGGTCAAATAGTATAACCCTAAAACTTGGCAACTTAGAATAGATGCTTTAGATATCTGTGTCTTGCCTATATATATATTTATATGTGTGTATGCGTGTGTATGTGTGTGATTTAAATAAAATGACTAAAATGACCAGCTTATTGTCATTTCTCCTTAGTGATGATGATGTAGAAGAAACTCATCCAATGGATGGAAATGATAGTGATTATGATCCCAAAAAAGAAGCCAAAAAGGAGGTAACAGATAATTTAATGGTGAATGTCAGTTTGTTTGTTTTCAGTGAATGTGTTACTGTGACAAATACAATTTCTAGTAGAAGAGACTTAAGATGTACTTATTTGTAGCCTGCTGAAAGAACAGGATTCTTAATTGATCAAGATTTGGATAACTTTTGAATTAAATTGAATTTTACTCTTTGTTTTTGCCATTTGGTGTGCATAAATGCATCTCTCATTGCCTTTGCTATCTCATGAAAGATCTTAATGCTTTCTAAGAGAAGCAGCTCTTAGATATGCTATCTCTACCTGGTGTGCTATCCCTACCTGGTAAAAATAACATTCCTCAAACCCTGTCTTGTTAATACCTATTTCCAGTTTTACTGTTGGGGAAATATTGGAAACTTTGTTATATATTTAAAAATTAAATGACTTTTTTTCTAAATGTAACATTTTGTTCTTCCAAAGCCATCTTGAGGTTTTACTTTTTAACTCAGTTGTGGCTTTATTCAGATGCTTTCTGATAATAACATGATCAGAAAAAACACTTTACTCCCCTTAGTATGTCTTTTTCTTCTTTTTTTTTTTTTTTTTAGTTTTGTTTTTGGTAAACATTAAGAAAATAATGAAACATTTTAACATTAAGCTGTGTTCTTCTAGTCTTGATCATAAGTAACTCAATCAGCTTAGTTCATTTGGGTTCTTCCCAAAATGAAAGAATTAATGTTCCTTAAAAATATGAGAGGGAGAGATGGTGCAGTTTCAACATCTCTTTAGGACAATGATATGATATCAAAGATTATTAATACAACTTTGGATTTCTGCCAAAAGTGATGCTGAGTAAAAGACAGTATTAAATTCTGTTCTCAGAACAGTAAGTCTTTTGGAAAGACCTTTAATGTATGTCACTTTAGCTCCCCTAGGAGATGAAAAAAGGACCCCTTTTCTACAAAGAGTTTGAGTTTTTTCTTTCTCGGAATACACTAGCTTGAAGTTGAAATGGTCCAAACTCTAATGTGAACCTCTTTACTCCTCTCCCCTGCCTTCGTTCCATGACTGTAACAGTCTTTGCGCAATCTGTTGATTTGCTTTGGTACCTTTGCTTTTTTCTAAGCACTGGCTGGCTTTTCCAGCTTGTTCTCCTTAGTTAATGTGGGAATCGTTGCATGTAGTCCGGAACAAAATCAGCGTGTTTGTAGGCTCCTAGGAACAGGACAAATAGGTTTGCAGTTTCCGACAAGCTATTTGGATCCACATAATATTGTTTTGTGGTCTGATGTTTCTGGTAGGTTTTGCACACTTTCACTTCCTAAGCAAAATATAAACTCACTAGTTTACAGATGTGTGTAGCCCAATGGAAAACTTCATATCGGAAAAGAGTAAAACAAACAAAATATTAGCCTGGCAAGCTCAAAGCCTGAGAGGATGAGTTCTCTTTAAATCCAGTTTGAAAAGACAAAGTGCAGTTTCACTCTAAAAGAACAATGCTTGACCCAGTACAAATGGTGTCAGTGGACGAGAAGTAAACTTAATCTTGGGATTATTAGATGTCAAAGATTTAAGGCTGTATATTAACTTTCCACACAGGAGCAGTAGAAGCAATTGTCCTAAATGTTTTTAAAATTGTCCTAAATGTTTTTAAAATACCCTTCATGAAATCTGTGTACTTGATGTTACAATAGCTGAGAAGAGGATGTAGCAGAAGGTCAAACTTAAGAGATGAAAATACAGTTTGCCAATATGTACTAAGTACAAATGTGCTAATATGTACTAAGTCACTCGCTTCTCTGCTGTGAAGCACTTGCTCTACCAGGATTGTGTGCCTGAAAACAAAGCTGAAGCTTTGAGCAAAAGTCAAGGATATGAGAATATCTGAAGAATGACTATAATTTTTCTCTGTTATCTTTTTCAAGAAAGCAAACAAACAAACAAAAAAGGCAAAACAAAGTCTTAAGTTTCCTACATTAGATGGGTATTTATAGGAATTGTAAAAGCAAATAGGTGCTATTTCTTTCAAATCTCCAGTCCCCTCCTAAAGCAAATGGCTCTTAGCTTTTCAAGGTGGGATGCTTACAGCAGGCAAGGTGTCACTTTGCACTCTTGCCAGTCACAGTGACTCGCCCCTGCCTTGACCTCACTGTCCTTCATATTTGACGTGAAGTAAACGTATTAGTTTGAAGTACCATAAAATGTTTGTTAGTGATAACTGCCAAATCAAGGCATTACTTGGTTTAAAGATACTGTGTATTTATATTGTTTAACCTTTCAGTACTTAAAAGGTTACTAGTCCTTGCCTTCTCTCATAGTATTGGGACAGTGAATTCTGTATCTGTTAATGTGTCTTCACTTGTGTTCAAGAGAAGGGAGAGAAAAAAAAAAAAGTTTGAAAAATGAACTTTCCTAAAGCTAATCCAGGCCTGCCCAGAGTGGTGCCTTCCATCACGTTGTGAGGCTTAGTTTGGGTCCTGTGTGGAGAGAAGGATGTTAGTTTAGGTCTTCTTAATTGTGTAAATATGACATTGCAATGCACTGCGATACTTCAATATGGTGAGTTACTGTTGTTCTTTAACCATTTATTTCTTGTGAATTAAAGGGCAATAATGAGCAACCCATTCAGACCAGCAAAATAGGGCTGGGTAGAAGAGATTATCAGAGCTTACAGCATCGCCACCATTCTCAGCGTTCCAAATGCCGGCCACCAAAAGGCATGTACCTGACCCAGGAAGATGTGATAGCAGTTTCCTGTAGCCCCAATGCAGCCAACACAATTCTTAGACAGCTGGATATGGAACTAATCTCATTAAAGCGACAGGTACCATGGGTTATTGGACTTGTTTTATTTTCACCTCAGATTGCTCTTGTAAAGTTTCTGAAACTTTTCTGTGAAGATTCTGAGACTTCTATAACATGAGTCTTCCTAATTTTGTTCCTCAGTGCTCACCAAAAATGCTGGACATAAGCTGTTCTTCAGGCTTATTGCTGTATTTTTCTCAAATCTCTATCACTCAAGATGCCTTCCTTTCTGAAAATGAAATTAAGGGGCGTGTATGATAGTGAAACCAATGTTGATTTGGGAATGGGGAAAAATCAAGTTATTTGATTTGTTTTTTTTTTTTGTTGTTGTTGTTGTTGTTGTTGTTGTTGTTGTTGTCGTATTTTTGTTTTTTAAGCATTTACATGAAAAGTGAGAATGAGACCAAGGAAGCAGTGCAAATTTAAATTTTTTATACTTCCAGTTGTAGCCGTTTTCAGGGTGAGACATCCAGTCCAGTGGGATAGGACATCCAGGAAATCCTGGAAGGAAGGGAGAGGACATTGCAAAACATGAGTCTCTCCATTTCTTGGTTTAAAATATTGATCATTTTTACTGCAGACTATAAACTGCTTCCTTTAACAACTGCTTCCTGCATAAAGAAGTTAATTTGCAGCACTTAACATTGAAGCGCAGAATCTGTTCATCTTCTCAGGACACTGCAGTATGTGCATGTTTGCTTTCTAGGAGGGATGTGACAACAAATTCAAGGCTTATCTGCTGGAATTTCTGCCTTGTTATAGGCTACTAAATGCTCCTGTGTTGCAAGACCATGGGCACGAAGGGGTTTCACAGGCTTTTTGCTCCCTTGTATTCTTTTTGCAGGAGAAATCAGCTTCCTTTTAGCACAGCAGGACTTTGGGGCTAAATAGCATAGGTGGGTCTCACTCTTTAGCTAAGGGTAGGTGAGTGACATCCTTAAGGGTGCGGGGGTCCTTTTGGTTTTTTCCCTCTCTCTCTTTTCAGTTATCTCGGAGCTGCAGCCCCTGGAATATCCCACTGAGTTATCTGTTTTTATGTCCATACTTAAAGAACACCCGTAACAGCAGTGCACCGTAGCACGCAAAATTTTCTCAGCTATGTTACGTTATGTGCGTTACTCAGTCAACTTTAAATGATTAATAAATCTGTTTATGTATGAGTTAAAAGACCTCTCCTTGTAGACTAAAATATTTTATCCAGAAGTATTAAGATATTTCAAGGAAATCCTTTATGGAAATTGTGATGATCTAAGATCAATAAAAATGGTGTATCAGAAGAAACTAGAAATAGCTCGTAAATTTTCTCCTCCTCTCTCCAAATACTTTTTGGGGAAAGAAGAAGTATATTTATATATATCACTTAAATATAAGTATATATCGGTTAAATCTAAGAACCAAGCTTTTGTCTAGAATATTCTACATTCTTCCAGAGTATATATTTAGTGTCATCAAAACTTACTTTGTATGTCCTTTTAATATTCCTGCAGGCAAACTGTTCCTTTGAAGGGCTCACCTAAATACTTTTTTTTTCTCTCCGTAGTAAACTGTATGTCTTATTTATTTATTTATTTATTTATTCTGACAGTTAAAAGTAGAGAAGCCTTAAACCATAATGTTTCTCTTTCTAACTTAGGAGGTACACTTGTGGCAATCCTAGTGAAGATATATGTGTAAAGTGACCAACTTTCTTTGTGGAGCTGATTAACTTTGTTGTTTTTGACCAAGGTTCAAAATGCTAAGCAAGTAAACAGTGCACTTAAACAGAAAATGGAAGGCGGGATTGAAGAATTCAAACCTCCTGAGGTAAATCAGAATAAATACTGGAACTTTTGGCCTTGCACTTACATTAGTGGGAAACTACAGAAATGCCTTTTGCTGCTTGCTTTTTCAATAGCAGCTTAAGCAGAATCATTTGAAATGCATTGTGGTGAGTCTGGTGTCTGTATAAGAAATTGAGAGTGGGCTTTTATTTTGTCCTATGTCAACCATCTGAGTAAAGAAATGGAGGAAAACCTTTGTTCTAAGGGACTGAGTATAAAACAAAAATGCAAAGCACTTAGATGTAAATTCGAACAGTTTAGATAAATATCTATAGAATCAAATTCTGTCTGTGTAAAGACCATTAGCATGTACATAAGTAAGGATATGGGTGAAAGTGAAGAATTGCAATAAAGCAGAGAGGGAAAGAAAGATACCACTATAGTTCTGAAGTGATATCCTGTAAATACTACTCCTTCATTAAAGCAGCCTTAAGGCCTTTCTGAATTCATTGTTTATTGAGCAAGAGGTGTTACATATTTTACAAACTAGGTACATTCTGATGCTCAGAGGTTTTACAGGTGTTTATGCATTTTAATTATCTTTGTGCCATTTTTCTAATTTTAATAGTCTAATCAGAAAATCAATGCCCGTTGGACCACGGAAGAGCAGCTTCTTGCAGTACAAGGTATGTAGTGACTTGAAACCTGATGCAAAGGATTTTGTGAGGTGTTCAGGCATATGTTTACACTCCTCTAAGTTGAAAGCTAAACTCTCTGGTCTTGCAAGAAAGTCACTAGTAAGGCAACAACAAAAATTAGTGGGAATATGTAGCATATAAATTCAAGCAAACTGAGATTAGTCTTTCAATTACTCCTATTAAATCTTAAATAGAGAAGCTAAGCTGGATTTAAGAGCTCTATATAGTACCAAAAAGCCCCTTCATTCATATTCTAAATGGCATTACAATAATTTCTCTGAAGTGGAAGACCAAAATAGTAGTCAGAATCTTAAGATTTTCAGCACTTAACACACCATTTATATCCATAAAGTAGGAAAAAAAGCAAAAGTAGCTCTTTTATTCCCCCATGAAGAGAGAAGAATAACTAATAAAGCAGACATTGGGACAGTGGAGACCTTTGAGTCTGAAGCCAGTTATGGATACTGTACTAATGGTATTGTTAGCTAAAAATAAACATGGCCAGATTATTGTTACAATAAACTTGCAGTTACCCGTTTATTTGAAGGAAAACTGACTTTTGTCTTGCTTCAACATTCATTAATAAAAGAAAGCATAAGGGAACTATTTATAGGCCCATTATTGTCTTGAAGTCGCTATATGTTGATTTGTCATTATGAATCATCTTCTCTAATATACCTCAGTTCTAAGATAATATTAATTGTTCATATCTTTATTTTCCTCTATTCTTGACCTGCTTTAAAATCAAAGACTGTTTTTCAGTATAAAACTTTCAGCTGGGTCAGGGGATCAATGCAAAATTGTCACGTGTGTCATACCTGATAGTCATAAGCCAAATGACCAATACTGAACCTAAAATTAGATTTATTTTGAAGTGTGAAAGAAGATCTGAAGGGAAGGTGTCTTTGAAACCATGTCTCTTGAGCTTGCATGCCTCTGAGACTGGGATTCACATCTCCAAACTGTTTGCAGTCTTTTTCTAAGTATGGCTACCTAGCTCACACCAAAAGAGGTGTCTACCTTCCGTATCTACTCTAGTAGATAGACTGCTTACTGGAGAGATGGCAAAACCCAGGTTCATTGTGATGCCTTAGGCTCAAAAGATTCAAACCACCTTGCATTTCCTTAGTTTGATTATCAGGGCTTTAACCAAGGATCGGGCTGGGACATGGTAACAATTCAGTGAGCTCTTGTTAAGCTTGCTGAGCTTGTCGTGTACTTGTTAAACTTGCTGTATAGTCAGCAAGGTGGATAACAAAACTGAAGAAGAGGCAGAAGGGAATGAGGGTTGGCAATGACTCCCCTGGAAAGGAGTGTTAGTGGTCCCCCTATTTTGCATAGGTAGTGAGCTTTAGTACTTAAGGGTGGGATGGGAACTGTTTCACTGAATTACGTGTGCTTCTTATGTGTGCTTTTTGTGTTTTTGTTTGATTTTGATTTTTTTTTTTTGTTTTGTATTGTTTTAGTCCCTTCCTTTGCCACTGTGTAAAAGGGGAGAGAAGCTTTAATACAGAGACGAAGTATTTTCCCTCTTGTAGCTACTGTTGTAGAGTTGTGGAGTCTCTCTCCAGGAATGTGAGAGCTAAAGTTTAAGCCTCCCATCCCTCAGCCTGAGAAACACCATAGACTCAGCTCTCTTGCTTGCAAATATTGCTTCAGCTACTAGACTATATGCATGAAACGTCCACAGGGCTATTTTTTTCTCCGCTCTCACTCTATTTTTAAAGGAAAGTAGCTATACAAAAATTACCATAGTGTTTGCTAGTCTTGGAAATCTTAATTTGAGCATGGAGACATTTAGTTTGTATATGTAATAGAGGCTTAGTACATAAAATATTTTGGTATAGCCTGGCGCATACTTTTACATATGTGACAGTTTGACTGAAATCATAAGCACTAAGCAGGTAGGTTGTGGCTCCATGCTTTACTCACTTCATTCAAGCCTTATGTCCTATTGTGGAATAAGAAGTAATCTGCAATAATGATTTTGGTACTCTTCTAAAATGAAATATTTCTACTGGGGGTAATGTGTTCTCAGGCAGTTAGTAACTGAAGGAGGAGGTACCAAGCCATTACTATGAAGATGAGTATATCAATACTAGTGTGGCTGCCTGCAGCAGGGCCATGGACTCAGACTTGGCAAAGATCACTGGGGCCTGGATCATTTTTTTACAGTGTATTTCAACAGATGATTGTTAAACTTTGAATAGTTACTAAATGTAACAGGCCAGTGTGAGGTGTTTATTGTGAGTATAGAAATGTGTATGTACAGTTATTATCTCTTCAAACTTAAGATCTCAGCCACATCAAAATTGTAACTGCAAAGTATTTTAATTTGCAATTGCAATTTGCAGCTGTAATTGCAGAGTATTTTAAGGCTTGTCCAAAGCAACCAAATTCAAATGGAAGAGCAGGGTATTGCAGGGGAAAACAGTGGAGAAAGGCAGGACCTAACACCATGAGCTAGGGGCCAGGAGCATCCGTACATGTGAAGTGAGGCTATGAAGCTGCCTTCCCAACTGCACTGTCCAAAACCTAATAATAATGTAACCAATTGAGAGGCTATATAAACTATTTTAATAGTTTGCACAAGATTTATGTAAGGATTTATAATGTACACCAATCTGAGTTAAAGGAATGATGTATCTTCTTGCAGATGTGCCAGCACCTTATATATAAAACTTTCATAGACGTATATTGAACTCTCTCTGTGTTTGCAATGTGGGTTAAAAGTGTTTTACTGCAGTAATGCCTGGAGGTCATTGTGAGGATGCCATAGCAGCACTTAACCCCCTGAAAAGCATCCTAAATGAGTAGTTGTAGCAGAATTAGTGGCGCTTGGCTTTGTCTTGGTGTTGGGTTTGTTTTATTTCTAGGTTGGGTTTTCAGTGAAGGCGTGATGCACTCTGCCTGCCTGGAAGTAGGCTTAAAATCTTGCATCTCTCAGGTTTAGTTGGATTTAGCCAACAGCTTCAGTTGTTTTGCAGGTGAAGGGGAAGGGAGGAGCACAGGCAGGATAAAAACAGGGAAGGCTGAAATAGCTAAGAGACTGAGCTGTGTTTTTTTGAACAGTGTGCCGCCTTGTTGGGCATTTGTTCATTTGAACTGGGCAGAATGGCATCTATTGCAGTAGACACTTAATGATCATTATAAGTGAGGGTGCTTAGGATGTGTCAGTCAACAGGTATTAAAGCACTGGAGGGTGTGCTCTGTGGGTGCCTGGTGCCCACAGGGGTAGCACATTGTATGCCTGGCAGTGCATGGAGCCAGTCCCCTACTGCTCTTCCTAGATGGGCTCCCTCCCTTGTGACTCTGTTGGGTCCCTTGGCACTGTTGGGATCTTGTGGCCAGAATGGTTGAATGCCTTTAGAGGGGCTAGGAAAAGAGCTAACGTCATGTGGCAGGCCATAATGAAGCTCTTGAGGGCTGAAACATTAACTTCAGCTGCAGAAACTAGTACTGCCCTAGAGCTGAACTTTTTTTCTTAAACTGCACGTGTGCGTATTGCTTCCTAAGGACCTGTTGATGCAGGGGGTAGAAAAGAGCAGGGTGAAGGCGGTAGTCCTCACAGTTCAGCTGAAAAGAAACAGCTCTCACTTCTGAACCCTTTGCTTCATCTTTTTCAAATGAGAGGTGAAATTGGGCATAAATCCTTGCTCCAGTAAGGAAATGAAATGCTTGTCCTCTGAGCGCTGGAATATGTTCTGCAAGGGTGTAGTCAGCAGGGGCTTTGTGCAACAAGCCGAGTCTTGGAAACTGCAGACTTTGGAACATTTGTGATGAAAAATGTATCTAGTGTAGCTAAAAGCTATGTTCTAGGATGATGGAGAATATGATTTTTTTCTTCTTCTTCTTTTTTTTTTTTGTAAGCAGGAGAGGAGGAAGTAGGCATATACCTTAAATAGAACTGAGAGAATTGACTTGGACTTATCTGAAGTTTCATATTACAGAATTTTGTACTTGTTTTTTTTCAGTATTATCATACACAAAGTTCATTTTGGAATTCTAAGAAGCCCACATAGAGATTTTTTTTGTAAAGGACCAGCAGCATTTCCTTGGGAAGTGCATGTAAACAACTGACCTACTAATATCAACATGAAAACAGACAAAAAGAATCATGCAGAGATCTTCTGTCATTCAGTCTCTTGCTAGAGAATTCAATTCCTGGAGGCTTGTGCTGGGGAATGTGTTATAAACAGCCACCAGTAGCTTGTGTTTATTTCCCTAGTCAGTTGTCCTAAAAACCCAGTTTCATCTACCAAATGTGAAGGGTGAATTGAAAGCTTTAACGAGACTGTGTGTGGTGAATGTCTAGCAGTTACCTGCTGTAGCCTGGGTGTAGCATGTCAGAAAGGGAGGAGGTGCCACCAGAAGCGTCCCTGTGAGCTCAGAAAGGGAGGAGGTGACACCAGAAGCGTCCCCGTGAGCTCAGAAAGGGAGGAGGTGACACCAGAAGCGTCCCCGTGAGCTCAGAAANAAGGGAGGAGGTGACACCAGAAGCGTCCCCGTGAGCTCAGAAAGGGAGGAGGTGACACCAGAAGCGTCCCCGTGAGCTCAGAAAGGGAGGAGGTGCCACCAGAAGCGTCCCTGTGAGCTCAGAAAGGGAGGAGGTGACACCAGAAGCGTCCCCGTGAGCTCGAAAGGGAGGAGGTGACACCAGAAGCGTCCCCGTGAGCTCGGAAGGGAGGAGGTGACACCAGAAGCGTCCCCAGGTGACACCAGAAGCGTCCCCGTGAGCTCGGAAGGGGAGGAGGTGCCACCAGAAGCGTCCCTGTGAGCTCAGAAAGGGAGGAGGTGCCACCAGAAGCGTCCCTGTGAGCTCAGAAAGGGAGGAGGTGCCACCAGAAGCGTCCCTGTGAGCTCGGAAGGGGAGGAGGTGCCACCAGAAGCGTCCCCGTGAGCTGCTCGTGTTGGTGCAGCGGCTGCTGAGCTTGGCCAGCCTCGGGCAGCCGTCCTGGGTGGCCGCCCGGCCCCGCTGCCCCCGCACGTGGGGCCTGCTGCCCTGCCCGGGCTCCCGCCCCCATGTGCCCTCCGCTTCCATCCCCGCTCTCCAGGCATGCCGAGGGCTTGTGTCCAAGCTTGGTAGGCCAGATCTGTGTGGTCTTTGGTTGGGAGGCTTGGCGAGTCATGCAGAATCTTTAAGAAGAGGGGGTAATGACCTTTTAAATAAAGTTCTTGATTTTATGTGTTGATGGCTATGTGATTTAAAGAAAAACAACTAATTTTGCTGTAAGGGAAATTGAGGCCTTCTCATAATTGAGAAGTCTGTTAATTAGCGAGTCCTTGGTTTGCAGGTCCCATAGGCTCTCTCTTATAAATACATCACACGTAGCTGTGTCTGACTGATTCTTCACAGCTATGTTATTTACTTTGCCTTCCAGGTGTCCGCAAATATGGTAAAGATTTTCAAGCTATTGCAGATGTAATTGGCAACAAGACTGTTGGCCAAGTGAAGAACTTCTTTGTAAACTACAGGCGTCGGTTTAACTTAGAGGAGGTATTGCAGGAATGGGAAGCGGAACAAGGAACCCTGGCTTCTAATGGTGATGCTTCTGCTTTAGGGGAGGACACAAAAAGTACTTCTAATGTGCCATCAGGAAAGAGCACTGATGAAGAAGATGAGGTGTGTTTTTGTGTACCAGATCTAAGTAAGCATGGATTGAGGAATAGCATTGTATTTAGTGATTGTAATGTACGGTTAACAACTGGTGTGGAGTGGCAAAGCACATTCTAAAGAATGATGATGAGCTTGCACAGAGCTTCAGCCAATGCCGTTAATCACCTGGGAACAGGACTGCACCTTTCATAGCGAATATCCTGTTACTGTTACTGTTAAAATACACTTCTTACTCTAGAAAGAAGGCTCTTGCTTCATAAATATTTTTAGTTCTGCTGTCTATGATATTTTGGTTGGTGATTTCTTTTCAGTAGCTTCTCAGTTTTTTGGTTTGTTTGTTTTTTAAATACTGTTTCCTGCGTAGTGGCCAGCGGCAGCCCACCCGCGTGGCGTCCCGGCCGCGCCGCCGCTCACGCCCTCTCCCGTCTCTGTCCCCTGCAGGCGCAAAGCACTCCGGCCACTCAGTGTTTAGGCCCTTCGCCGCCGGCGCCGCCGGCTCCGGCACCTCCCGCTCCCACGGCAGCGTTAAACCAGCCGCCGCCGCTGCTGCGCCCGGCGCTTCCCGCGGCCCCCGCCCTGCACCGGCAGCCGCCGCCGCTGCAGCAGCAGGCGCGCTTCGCGCAGCCCCGGCCGACGCTCAACCAGCCGCCGCCGCCGCTCATCCGCCCAGCTAGCTCGCTGCCGCCGCGCCTCAACCCGCGGCCCCTGCTCACGGCCGGCAGCGGCCAGCAGCCCCCCTCGCTCGTGGGCATCCACGCCGAGCCGCCCGCCCCTCTGCACTGAGGCGGCGGCGCGGCGTGGCAAAAACTGCATCCGTGTCGTCGTCTTTTCCGCGTCATGAAGGGAGAAAAGAGCAAGCCTTCGCAGGTGTGAGACCAGTTTCCAGGAGGAGCAGGCTCGTAACGAGAGGTGGAGCCGCAGCAATGACCATCTGTATAAAAATATTTTTGTGTGGAAGACTTGTACAGCAGAACAATGCCTACAGTACAGCCCTCCTCTGCGCGAGTAACTGTTGAAGGAAGCTAACTTCTTAAATGTTCAACACACCAAGATTTTGTTTAACTGATTTTTACTCTATTTATTTTATTACGGTTCTTTGTAGTCAAGTACTTAACTACAGGAAAGTAGTTTGACAAGCCTAGGATTAGAAATTACTGTAGGAGACCTAAATGTAGGGTTGTTTTTTTGTTTGGTTGTGTTTTGTTGTTTTTTTTGTTTGCTTTACTTTCTAGTGCAAAAAAACTAATGGCCTTAGGTTCAGAATTTTGGCCCTGTTTAGGTTACAATAGAAGCATTTCATGCACTTGTAAAATGTAGGTGTTTCTCCATGTTTTTCCCAGAACACTTTCCTTTTTTTTTTTTTTTTTTTTTTTTTTTAGAAAGGTACTTTCTTATTAAATGCTCCTCTGAAAGAGTATCCCGAATACATGATGAGCTGTTGTACCAAACATGTTAAATGTCACATGTGTTCTAACCGTGTCAGCTAGGAGAGGACAGGAGTCCCGTTTCCTGCCACGAAGTCTCTTGCGGGCCGGCGTGGAGAGAGAGGCAGCAAGTAGTGGCACCTGGGGGTGACAGGAGGGCAACAGGAGTGAGTATTAAGTACAGTAGAGTCCTATTTCTCTGTAAACAGCTGTGTGCAGCTCATATAGATATTGACAGCTCATTGATAGATTGCCTAAGAAGTGATGATACAAACATAGAGGGTGGTGGTGGTAGTAGAATATTATGGTAATAGGGGCTGTCTGCTGCCAACACGATTTTAGAGTGTTAAATGAGTGTCTGATTTCTGCTATTTCTAGGTGACTTGATTAGCTGGGTTGAGGTTTTCTGGGGTTTATTTTTTTTAATTAAGTTAAATCTGCATTTGGATATTGATCATTGCTTCAAATTATAGGAAAATGAAAATGATTGTTTTCACTGTGTTCATTAAACTCTTCTTGTCTGAAACATTATTTAAAAAAAAGTGATCTGGATCAAGGTATTAAAATTCTGCATTTTCGGCTGCGTAATAACATTTAATTTAACTGCTATGCTCTTCTAAAAGGTTATTTTTATTTGTACCTGAAAGTGTTTGAAAACGATTTAAAATGTGTTAACTGTTATTAATTGGATTTGCCCGTGGCTAAAATGAGGCCTTAATGAGGAAGGAATGTGTTATCCCTAGTCATCTTCATAGATAAATTGAACAGTCTAACGATCAGTTTAACAGTTGGCTAAAATATTTCATATGTGCAGAGCTGTTTCATTTGTAAACCTGAAGTTTGATACTCATGGCCTAAATTGCAATTAAGGTGTTGACAATGTCTGTCTTGATTCTTCCTTTGGATACATCCTCAAAGTCATAAACCTGAGAGATTTTTTGTTCTCACACAAGAAAGTCAGCTGTTTGGACTTCAGCACCTCAGTAGGGTCCCTCTCTAGAGTTTTCTCTGGCATCAGAGCAGATCCTTAGCCACTGCGTAAGCATCAGATGACCCCTCATCGAAGAAAAGCGGCTTTGTAAAACACCAACTGAGGAACTGGAGATCACTGAAACTCGTGTTCTGCGAGTGGTGAGCGTCCCCGCCACAGCTACGTACAGAGCTGGCCATGCTCCAGACTTTAAAACTGCTGTGAAACCCATGGGTACATTTTGACATCCTGTCCGGGTATCTCATTTCAATTGTTGACAGTGATAGGATACATCTTCCGTATTTTTTTCTAGCATTGAGTCTCCCGCGTGTGTGTGTGTTGTATCTTTGCTAATTTTTGTCTTGTCTCTTGTCAATAGACTTCAGTATGCACAATGTTGGGTGTCGCAGTAGAGTTGGCCGCCACCAACTGCTATAAAACTGTTCAGTACATTGTAATTCAGTTTAATCTTGTTTAAATATTCTATAATTGGGCAAAGGTGCTGTATTGGAAGTGGGGGGGGGCAGAGATGGGTAGTACTTCTTAATTTACATACACTGTAGCACACAGTAGGGAACTCCTAGCATTTGTAGTACTAAATAAGTATGTACATAGCAAAATGTCTTTATTGTGTGCTTTGCAGAATATGTGCATACAGTTTGCACGTCCTGTTTTTGGAGGTAGGATTTGTTTTAAGCAGTGTTTGCCTGGAGAGTGATATGCTTGCTGCTTAATCAAAGGATTAAAGTTTTAAAGGAATCTGTGTCTTCTATTTTTATGTACCTTGTAATGGTCTAAAATGTTAGGGCCCTTATACTGTGACTCTCTTCTAAATTCATTTATTTTTTTAAGAATTAGAAATAAAAACTATACAATGGTGTTGATTTCAGTGGGGAATTTCTTTTGACATATCTAGTCTCCGGTTTTTGTAATGTAGTAATGAACTCTGACTTCAAAGTTGGCTTAATTTTGTCACTTTAAGAAATGTAAAATGTTTGCACACTAAAGTTTGGCAGAGAACGTGTATCCTACATTGTTAAAAGCTAATGTAACTTTACAGCTTTTTGTACAGTTTATTTTAGTTAATAAAGCAAAACATACTAAAAAAATGGCAGATTTTACAAATGCAAGGCATGATTTGAACTACATGTCTTCTAGGAACAATACTGCAAAATGTGGATGTACAGAAAGAAAGTATCAGACTTAATTGTTGCACTTTAAATCAGAATGGGTATGAACTTAAGCAGATATTTCTGCATTAATAAAACAATCACTAAACATCACCCCCCATAGTAAAGCAGTTTAATTTGTTTTGCAGATCATGAGCAGAAGGAACGAGCTCTAGTCCTGTGTCTGTAATGGGGCTGGGTTTCTATTTTGGTTGGGGTTTCTTTTGTGTAGAGTTGTTATTCTGGAATTCTTGCAGTCCTCAGGAAGCAACATGCAGGATAAGGATGGGCTGTGGAAAGGGGCGGTTTGTTAGATGTGGATCTCGAGGAGGAGAGGCCGTGCTTGAGCCTGTGCCCCGGGAGCATGCCAAACGCAGGCACTGCCACGACGGAGACCACCCTTAAGATCACAGGGGCTTTTATCTGAAATAAAAATGGAAAAATACATAAATGCTCCAGTGCCACTTGTGGTCGGCTGCAGACTTACGTGGATGAATGCAGATTTCCTCCGAGAGGAGAGAGGGAGAGGGGGAAAAAGCATCTGGACTATGTAAAGAGCTAGTGTACCTTTCACGAAGCACAATTTTTAAACCGATACTAATGCAGAACTTGTGTATCATTTTTATATTCACTGTTAGTGAAGGCTGCTGGTTTTAGTTGCCTACGTTCTTTCACCATAAGGTATTTGGGTTTTTTTCTGTGAATAATGACAGTAAAACCAACCCACAGTTCCTGCTCACGACAAGTTTTCTCTGGGCTGGTCACAGAGAAAACCACTGGGTTTTACGTCCCCTGAAGCTGCTGCTTCTCGGGCAGGGCTTCACTGCAGTGAGAGACGTGCTTTGTTTCTGCTCGCTGGATCTCGAGGGCCACGTCGGGTACCAGGTCTCAGCCCTGGCATCTGGTGCTCCCCTGAGCGCTGCTCTGCAGCCCGAAGTGCCGTTCCCAGGGCATCCCCGTGTGCCTCCAGAGGAGGGGGTTCCTGAAGGCAGAAACTGCTCTATCTTGGGAGCGAGATCCCAGCTCTGAGGAAAGCACTCACTTAAACTGATTGCTTGGCATTTCTATTTTAAGTCTTTTTAGGCGGAAAGCTTGTTGTTGTGTCTGTCACTCCCCCTTCCTACACAAGCAGAACGAGCTTGTTCCCAAACTTAACGGCTAGGAAAGGCCGTTTTTGACAGAGTGTTGGGAAAGTTGTTGGCTTCAGCAATTGCCCCTGGACTCCACTGGCCCCCCAGGCCCTTCCTGCAACGGAGGAGGACACGAGGACATGTGGGACACGTGTGTGTGACGGGGGGTCATTTTAGATGGCAGAAGTCACATTTCGGAAACCAGGCTCATTTTCTTCAGAGACGATCTGGAGCCAGTGCAGGTGATGTGGCCTGTTTCTTCACGCTAGGCTAACCTTAGCGCGCTCATGAGCTATTTCCCTTGGGCACGGCTGTTCCCGGGGCTGTTCCCCGGGTGGCTCTCCCCGGATCCTCTCTCCGGGATCCGCTCTCTGGGACGGGCTCTCCCGGGGCAGCTCTCCGGGATCCGCTCGCCGGGCCGGGCCGGGCCGGGCCGCAGCGCGGAGCCGCCGCCGCGGGGCCTCCCCGGGGCGGCCGCGGAAGCG